TAAGCCAACGATCGATATCGATTTTGATATAGGGATAGACATTTTTATTATAAGCGCATTACCGACGGCGGAAGCATGCTCAGTAAACGAGTTTATTCTGTGCATGATGTACCAGAATGGACATAATTTACATACCATTACATTGACTGTTGTTTAAGTATAGACACAAATTTACTTTGATATGACAAGTCTCTTTATTTGTTGTCGAAAATAGCAAAAAATGCTACAATGGGTTATCGCTTTTCCATTTTGCGAACACTGCACCATTGTGCATTTTAGCTATTTTATCGCCATTTTTATATTCGGCGAAACAATAAGACGTTTGCGTTTGAAGCGTTTTCAAAATTACTTTTCGCCAGAATGAATGACATTTCGCGTAGCTTCAGACATCCCCTCCCTACTTACATCATGAAAATAGGCTAACTATGAATTTACTAGGTATGAATAATGCATTGATCATAATGCTGGCCACGCAAATATTACCTCATACGTAACGTTCCGGTATTCCTGAGAGCTCCGAGGTGCTGCTTTGTCCTGCGGGGAGCTCCGCGCGATATATAAATATTATGCAAGAATGTTCGTGAACTGAAAAATTCAGTGCGGCGCCTCGCTCGTTTTTGCCAGCAGAATGGAACACATTGAAAACCCATCGTTTAACTCCAAAAGAAAGTCAATTGCTGTATAAAAATAGGACAACTTAAACGTAAATGCATTTAAACGTTTTTACATTTTTAGGAAATTGTAACAAGAGGTTTCTGTTTACCTATTTCTTAGCGTCGGGTAAATTATAGTAGCTTGCACTGAAATAAAAACTCGTGCTTTGCCGACAAAACGCAACTATGCGTCCCTGCAAATTCTGGGTCTGAAGTTCTAATACGTGTAAGCGGCTTTCTCCAAGTCACGTGATAATACTGCCTCCATGCCGTAAATATGTGCTGTGTCACGCTGCATTGTTGACGTAAAACATAGGGTGCGCTATAATATATTGCTCTTATTTGAATAAACAAATCTTTCCCAGTAAAAAGCAACTTTAGTGTATCGCACTGAAATGAAAACTCATACGCCATAATTCATAACATCGTGACTACGCAACTTTATTAAAACACTTACGTCAAACCATCGAGATCAAACTGCGTGAATATAATTAAGATTCTTTCAATTCGTTGACTTGGGCACACTTGCGCTAAATACAAAGTGAAAATTTCTAACAGGACAGGAATCTCGGCTCCTTGAACTTCGAACCAATTTCTATTAAACCGGGCAGCTACTTTTTCTACTTGAACCTGTTCGTATTCGGACAGAAAACTGGCCGTTACTGTTACTGTACTGATAATGCTCGTATCCGCTACTAGAGGGCGCAAATACGAGTGTTTTTACAGTGAGATGACATACTAGTCCCATGTATTCACTAATATACATCATTAAACAACAATATTAAAAAATTACATATAAATGCCCATATTACATCTTTAAAACATAATCACTAGATACAGTGTCCCATCTTCAACTACCCCAGTTATTTTGTTTAAGGCTGTTCGTGACATCCAGTTTCTGCAATTGAAAAAAACAATACGCGTAATAATTCAAATTCAAATACAAAAGACGTACAATAATCTTGACATTTGTTAATTCACGTGGCTCACTCACTCAGACGGCTTTCTTTTCTTCTGTAGGCGTTGTGGGAAGACGTCTTCGCGGAACCCGAGGGGACGCACAGGTAGGTTTTGGTTCATTGTTTTAGCATGATGGGAAAATATGTTGCTTTTTCCAAATGAATTTTGATAATTCATCATATTATAGTTGGTGTCCGATAACCAAACCTGCATTGGTTCTGAAAGGCGTGTTATTTTTTCCCAAAACTTTAGCACAGAGCGGGGCTCAACCAATAATCCTCTCTGTTTGGTATTGGTTTAATTCATATCGAATCACCGCCTGGGAGCTTTGCCAGCTTTTTTCCTGTACATCTAACACGTGACTATTTTATGTTTTACAGCATTGACGGCGTGTGGCGCTGTTCCTTCAAAACCTTCAATTTCGCCAAGTCGTGTTGCTACAAAATACTTACCGTACTGTGCGCCGTTCCCTCTTCGTTAATGTGGGGTTTCTGCTTCGCATTCCAGTCCTTCGAACAGATCTGGTGCGTCACCCCAATGCTGAAGGCTTTGATGATCGACATGGGAGCGGTCAAGCGATACTACACGATAGTGTGTGGAGCTATCTGCGTTCCAGTATGCGAAACGTGTGGAGCCTGTCTCTCACAGATAAGAATAACTTTAACGAAAAACTAGTCGTTGGCTGCAGAACCTAGAAAAGGCCACTGTTGCCTGCATGATTAAGGCAACAGTAGAGCTAACAGTTTATATTAATGCTGAATTTACCTGAATTGTATAACAGTGTTACTGGAGAAACACATACGGAAAGTTAGCAATCAATTTTCAGCTGAATATTCCAGTAATGTATCTTACTTATTACTTCTCGTATTTCTCATATGTTCATTTCAGTATGTGTTGGTCTTTTGTAAAATAAGTGAAAAGAAAAACTCAATAAACTCGACTCTTACAACCTAAGTACAGAATGTTCAATATGTTCCGTGTGCGTGCAGTCGCTGATATGTGTTACAATTATCAACCATGTGTTTGAGTGTATTTACGGTTGAATGTAAACGCATACTATTGGCCAACACCCTGTCAATGAACATGCGCAGTCGATGGACGTTAAACGTTGTTGGTACAAACAAACAAACAAACATGTAATAATGCATGAATGCCACAACCGAGGACAGAATAGTGTGTCATTTGTATCACGTAGGCCGAGAGTATGTGTTTATTTATTGTTATTTACCACAATGTCTCATTTCACTTTCACGCGTTCAAATTCCAGGCGCTTTTTTACTGTGCAGAGCGCCAACTACTTACAGTAAACAAAAAATAGTAATGAAACGGAAATCCGGGTCATGTGCTGAGCCAAAACAGTAACATTTTCGTAAATCATTTAAAAAAACATGGCGTGCTCGCGTTCGGACATATTATATGTAGATAACACCACAGGACATCTGGGAGTTGTTTCGAGCTACGCCCTCCCAACACCTATCTGTCCCGCGGTTTTTCCTACACTTACACCGTCAGCATAAAGAAAAATTGGACATGCTATTCTGTCCTTGGTTGTACTATTTTCGCGTCTTATATCACAAAGTACTGAAGAAACTCGAAAAAAGCTTTTAAGTTCTACGCAACATGCACGTGCGGTTTGTGCTAGTAACACAAATACTGAGACACCCATAGCACGGAACTATCGCCTGGTACAACAATATTATTGAAAGCAGTTTTACTAAGAGATAACAGACGAGCGCGGGGGTAGCTTTTGAGGTTAGGAGATTTACCCATCAGTCCATTAATTATGTTGGCGAGTGTTAAACGGTATTTTAAACAGAATATATACAACCCTTATCATGATTGCTGCGCGGCCATATTGCACATATCTTTTTCGTGGCTCGATTTGTAAAAGTTCAGTAGTACAGCGTACGGTGTATGACAGTTTCGGAAATATAGACTAATGTACATCCATGGTTGTATATACTTGAATTACAATTATTACCGTTTTTTCCCATAGGCAAAATATGACGACGTATTTGCCGAACCACGTGGGACGCACAGGTATGTTTGCAAGGTTACACAATTTCACATTAGTTGTACTTTGATTGCAGATCTTTCAGTAAAGTTGACATAGCAACACTATGAGAGCCTATGATGGCCGGCCAACATTGTAAATTCGTGTCAACAAACAAATTTGGTAGAGGATTTTAAGTGAACTCGAATATAACACGAACATCGTACGATTATGCGAACTGACAAAAACAACACTGAAACAGATAGAGTATGATAGTTCTCCTTTTGAGATGATGGGATGGCCCTAAAAAGGCCGTTAACCGTTAGTTTGTGTGTTTGAAAGACAAGGTGTATCACGCAGTGATACTGGACACCAATATAGCAACCAGCAAGAGTCACAACCAGCCATATTATTCAAAATTTCGTGTTTGTAGTTTAGTGCTCTGTGCAATTATTATATTATAATATAGTCACGTGGCCCTATAGCCCCAAAACGACGTTAAATAAATATTAATACTTAAAGTTTGTCAGTTTTATCAGTTTACGTGCGCAGGAATGACCAAGTATTTGTATGATAATCTATCTAAAATATGTTTTTACTTTCTCGTGTTCATAGCATGGACGGTGTGTGGCGCTGTGCATTCAGGACCTTCAGTGGTGGCAAGTCATGCTGTTACAAAGTGTTGACAGTGATCTGTGCCGTGCCGACTGCTTTGATATGTGGATTTATGTTCGCATTCATGTCTTTCGAACAGATATGGTGCATCACGCCCATGCTGAAGAATCTGAGAATCTCTATGTCCCCGTATAAGAAGTGCCTTACCACGGTATTGTCGGCTTTCTGTGCACCGGGGCTCGAGGCGTGTGGCGCTTGCTGCTCCAAAATACGCATCACGCTGACCCATGATGGTGACAGTGGTGGCGCCACACATTTTACCAAGGTGGTGCCGATGACGACTGTTGAAAATGACGTCATTCCTCCCAAGGAAGCATAATTTCAGGATCAATCCGAGCTTTCGATTACATGCATAATGAGCGTCCGATGTTTACTCTAACTATCGTTATATTATATTATAACTATCTGTCCATATCTCATAATTTGTGTATGTGTATTTTTAGAGCCAACCTTCTGGTAAGAGGCCTTTAGTTCCAGTATTCATAATTTTTAATTAACCTTTAATATCACCTCCAAACCGTTGTCCGATCCTCAAAAATCCGTTATTGAAGCCACAAAAGTCACCAATTTCAATGGGAAATATATCACACACTATGATAACCAATTAAAAAAATGAACTATAGTCTGTGAGTATACATTGTTTGGAATTTGTGAAAGGATTTCCATTTTCACATTATGATTGCCTTGAACGGAATAGAGTATGTCTGGTGGCACAATCCTTTACTAGTCCCCAAGATAGTCCTTCTCAATGTAAACATAATTACAGATAATATTTGACGACGAATCACTGAAAATCTTGAGTTCAGATTATATTCTTATTTGAGGAAACGATAATGTACTGGTTCAGAAGTTGGGGCCACGAGAAATAACAGACCAGGCCCACCTTAATGATGTCGTGTTAACGTTTTTCAGTAGAAAAGATTTTCTTAAAACTAGTTAGTAAAAACGATGACAGTTTTTTTAGAGTTGTACAAATGTTGATAAATCCTAACACATCTCACAAATATTTTCAAACCTCTGAAAAGCGATCTTAGGAAGATTGAGTGATTTAAACTGACATTAAGCCTGAGCCGCGTGAATTGGCGCTCTCTAAAAGCACCCGGAAACTTTGACGCAGATTGGCATACGGGGACTCAGTTCGCAACACAGATATGTTCAGATCTCTGGTCGTCCGTCAATAAAAATAAGAGCTGTAATATTCAAAATAAGGATACGTCCATTTGACGTAGTAGAAGTGTTGTCGCTAGAGGGCGTATTGTAAGGTGCGTTGATTAGTTTAACACGGCTAAACAATCATACTACTTCTATTTCAAGGCTGTGTTTATAGTATTTTATATTTTCTTCAATGCAGATGAAATGGGGATTCAAATAATTTTTGTTTGCGATAATAACCAAACTCACATAGTTATTATGGTAAACACGGTCGCTCAGTATGCAAGAATGCTGTGAATATGTAATAAGTTGAAATTAAATTTTCTTTTCTTTAGTCTATAATCCCAGTGTCTGTTTTCATGACATATCCTTCATTCCTTACATTCAAACAGCTCGCTTATTCCTATCACCGATATTAGCATTTCGTCGCTAGGGGGCGCTACTCATCAGAACAGTGTATCCAATCCGTGACTGTTAGTACCTTCCACGGCTTACCTGACAATCAAGCTTAATTTCCAATCACATGGTGGCCGTTTTAAATGTAGACAGTGACTTCCTTTACATCTAAAAATTGCAGCAAATGCAGAAATGTTTCGAGTGTTGTCACTTTTTACAAGTTAGCTAGAAATTATAGAAACATCACAAGTCCGAGTCTAAGC